TGGAAACATTTCAGCTGCTGCTCGCTGAGATTCCGGCTCTTTGAGAGCTGCATCTGTCAGAAGTTCTTCTGTGTGCGGCTTCATCACAGTAACTTGTGACAGTGTGTTGGAAGAGCCTCACTCTGCTCGTGGTTCACACCCGACAGGCTGTGACGTCTTTGACACCATGAAGCACTCACACTGACCAAAATACACCTCCTCTGTAGCACAAGACGCTCAACTCTTCCCGTGTCTGTTGTCGTCGCGGCTGACGTCAAATCTTTGCCTCGTGTCCTCGAGACTGTCGTCTCTCGTCTGCTGCTATCAGACGTGACAGGATCAAACAGGATCGGCCTGGCCCTCCGCACAGCCCCGTCCTCCCTGGGTGCTAGAGCTAACAATAGCTCTGAAGCTACATTAACATGTGTGAGAGGTTGGAAAGACCAGCAACCATTAATAAACCCCGGGATCTATTAATACCTTAGCATCTTAGCTCAGTTGTCTGTATCTCATAAAAGGTCACCTGATAACCTGTGTGTTAATGCCAATATCTCATCAGGCCTGTGTGTTAATATAAAAATATCTCATCAGCCAATCACACGACAGCAACTCAAAGTATAAAAGTTGGTTACAAAATTTGATCTATCACAGCGGTTGGCAATAGGAGGCCCGAGGGCGAGAACTGGTACTCGGACCACCGTTAGATAGAAGGATAACATTTTTTACTACTAATATTTACCAATGGCTCGAACTTAAGAAGTAACTTTGTTACTTAAAATCGGTCTCAGTCCGATATTGGTCAAAATCTAAGGATCGAACATCATAAAAAAAAAAAGGTCTCAGTCTGATATTGGTCAAAATCTAAGGATTGAATATCATAAAAAAACAACTATAGCTCGTCTGATCGGATTGATAACAGCAACGGCAGACACACAGTAGTCGCAGTATCGGTATCGGAGATGAAAAAGGTAAATAAATAATTTAAATAAATGTATATTGTTGAGTCACAGCCACAATCCGGCAACTTTGATGCACTGTTAAATAAATGCTCCATCAGATGCACAAACTGACACTGTCAGTGATAGATGTCAGTGGATGGACTGACCAGCTCTGTTGTCTGTATGAAGGCCCAGTGGCGTGTTGGTTATCAGCAGCCGGGCGACGAGCAGGAGTGATGGGAACAACCCAGAGGAAGTTGTTACTGTATGTTTTATCAAATAATTGCATGTCCAGGCAAACAGGTTGGAGACAAGTCCAACCAACCATTAGTCAACACCCAGGTGGTGAAAACACGCGTATCCCCTAACGTCCCTGCTTACTCTTCAAATCGGAGAGCTTTATCTGACACAGTTGGCTGAGCAGCCTGTCTTTGCGTCCTGCTGTTTGCACACACAACCCAGACAGGACTTGTCGCAGAGTCTCCAACAGGAGGCAGCGCCAGCGAGGAATCTCTCCCTCAGCGTGGAGTCGAACCCTGGTGGCTTTTAAATCCCCTTTTCTGTCGGATTTCTTTATCGGTAACAACCGACGCCGCTGTCATCTGGCTGCGACGGGAAATGCAAAATGCGATCCAACAAAGACAACAGACGTAATTAAAATTCTTGGCACTACGTTAAAAGGCAGTCGGATTCATTAAGAATCCATCTCGTTGCACCCAGAGGAACCAGAACCGGCGAGGTTCTCTGCTGGTGTCTGCTCTCATACCTGAGTGAGCAGATCCAGATAAGAAGCAGTTATCTTTGCCTCACAGCCCTCCACATCCCAGAGGGGCATCACCTCTCTGAGTGGGGGCAACAGACCGGAGGTTTGGTCAATAATGGAATGGAGTTTACAGTTTACCTGAAGAGGTTGTGTCTAAGGAAATGTTGGTAATCGTTGGTTTGATCACGGACCGAAGTCCAGACCTTTAAAAAAAAATCAACACTCATTATGATTTATTTATTTGTCTCAGACTTGATTGGCGTTAAAGAAAATTCATATGTTATACAGTAGGTGATAAAGAGTCGCATTGGGCTCTGGATCCACAGGTTGCAACTTCCTCTGGGTTCGATGGTCTCCGATTCTGTTTCTGCTGAGTTTCTTTATGTATTATGTAGAGTTGGCATGTTCTCACCTGTGTGGGTGAGGAAGGGGAGGGTAGGGGAAGGGGGGGGGGCGTTGTTGAGCTACTCCAGTTCTTCACACAGATGCACACATGCAGGATTGAGTTAATAGTTCACCTTAATTGACCGTAGGTGTGAATCTGAGTGTGAATTGTTTGTTGCACTTTTTTTTTTCATCCTTTGACTGTGTTTGCCACATATATCAAAATATATAATTTCACCCTGACAGCCACTAGGGGGCACTCTAGGCTTGTGTATCAGTATCTGCTGCTCCTGTACCACTGAGGATTTATATGTTCGTTATTTTCACCCTGCCAGCCACTAGGGGGCACTGTAACGGGCTCGTGCGACTTATACTCCGACTCAGCGACTTATAGTACCTTAGTAGTTGAATTACCACAGTACTCCACCCATTACAACCGCAGTACCCCAACCTTACCTGATGAATATTCTCCTGCTCTGTATCTTTATTTGAAGTTGAAGGAATTGAGCAGCACTCAGAGAAAAGTGTCGCAGCACTTTCAGGGTTAAGTCCTAAAAATAGACCGTGTGACATCCCAGCACTTTTTTATTGTCAACCTGGCTGACATCACTGTTTGATTTAGTCCCATCCTCTGGACCAGGAGGGAAGACCAAGGTGTTTGATCAAATAAGAAGTTAAAGATGAACATAGCGGCTGGCCAGTAAAGCTAAGGACGTCTACATCAGGTATAATCTCTTCTTTTCATTTCCACTTTATTCCCAGAGCCTTTTTTATTCTGTCTTTTCTTCTACCTAGAGGCTGCAGACGTCACATTTCCCCCTGCAGGCCACCGTAGGAGGCAGACTCTCAATTTGAAAGGGCATGATAACTTTTACATGTACTTCGTCAGGGGCTATAAATATTCTCAGAGCTTGTCTGCTTGTTGAGTTGAAAAAAAAAGAAAGAAAGAAAGAAAGAAAGGGAGAAAAAAAAGTCTCATAATGCAAAAGGAAGGGGTTGGTTATATTTAGATGGAGGGAGAGGCAGAGGGAGAGGGAGAGGAGCAGCTGTGATGCAAGACATCTGAAAATGGAAACAGTTCCCTGAGGTGACGGTGCTCATTCTTTTGTCTTTAATTATTTGTGTATTTTTCCTCTAATACAGCGCCGACGTCAGCGTCACAGGGGGCAAAGATCAGGCTGCGGTGGACATGATGACCCATGATGTCGCTGCCCCCGGCTAATTAATACCAAACACATGGGCAGCTCTGTCAATGATGCCGGTGAGTGTTGACAACACAAACAGGTCACGTGATCAACACATCTCCAGTCTCTACGATAGATTTATTAAAACTCATCTCTATCATCGTATCGTATGTTTATTTATCGATAAATCGATACATTTTCATTGACGTGTAAAGGTAACTTTGCACAGGAGCGATTTTATCTAAGAATATAAAATGTCTTTGACCGTCGTGAGGATGGAGTCAGTGAACTAAGTAGAGGACAGACAGGACTTTCGTGGGACTGGTGTGGTTTTTATTAATAATCTATTTTTCTATTATTTGACCCAGATTTTCCTAAATCCACTCCACGTCCCGTGCTTCTCACTTGGCTCGATCCAAACTCACTCACGTTAGTTTTCAACCAGCACCCAGTGACCCACGTTAGTTTTCAACCAGCACCCAGTGATGCTGCGACCAAAGCAACTAAAGCCTGTAGCACAGATGGCTCCACCCATTTCTTTTGTACGGTTTATGGTTTGAAGTGCGTTAGAGCCAAAAACCAGTCGAGGACTTTCTCTGTTTTTTTCTGAGGTTTCAACTTGAAATGATGTTTTGATACTGGACGGTAACATCTATTTCTTATATGAAGAACCAGATAGCGGGCCACATTTAGTCCCAGGGGCCTTATGTTGATACGAAAAGTCTGTGGTAGCTGGAAGCTGTTTGCCCAGAGCTACAAAGGAATTTCTTATTTCCACCCTGGATGTTGTCGCAGCTCATCAGAACCGAAACAAAACTGGCTTCTTGACTAATCAGGTGTTTGAAAGGCTGCTCCTCCTCTCTCCCGTGGCCTCGTCTTCATCACTGTGTCCTTGTTAAAATGCCACACGTGCGTCCCGATGTCTGTGTCCTCCGAGGTTGGGTTGCCTCGGTGTCAATAGCCACAGAATTAGCGTCGTTACGCAACACTAAACTCGCTCTCTTCTCCATTCTTAGCATCGTTTTGAAATCTTACGTCGTCCCTTTGGTTTTGCGTGCGGACACGCGGCCACTTCACAGTTATTTTTTGCAGTGAGTGACACCCAGTATCGACAGGGCGATACAGTGCGAGTGCTATTTTAGACCAACCACCCCTTCCGTGTGCCTCGTAAACAACCGTGTCCCCGGGGGAATGGAGCAGGCAATCACAGGTGAGAAATGACTGCCAGCATTGACCAGTGCAGTCCTGAGACGTCAAGTGTTGGGATGGCTGATAAAGTGATTACTGGCAGTCTCCGAGGAAAAGAGCAGGGGTCAGAGGACTAATGATTGAACATGGTGGCAGTGATGATGATGATGATGATGGTGATGATGATGATGGTGATGACGGAGGTGGTAGGAAGGAAAGACTTGCGTAACTATAGGGTAAGTGTAAAAAAAAAAAAAAAAAAAAAGGAAGGAAAGAAAGATCTGGTGATTGAGTACAACAGCTTCCCAGTCTGGTCCTTGGTGGAATGTTATGTGTCTGATTTACCTGCATGTTCCTTCTCAGGGCTGAGAACATCACTGTTCTCATTAGAAACTGCTTCAGTGCTGTCTCATAGCAACCTAAAAATAGAAATGTCCCTATTAGGCTGTATAGCTGTGATGGCTGCTACCAGTTTTGGCCTCCTTAATCGAGCAGTAAATATATATATATAAATATATATATATAATATATAAATATACTCGCTTGATTGTTTTGAGTAGAGAGAAATGATGATGAGAGACACGGACGGTCGGCGATGTGAAAACAATGATGTGGACATTGATCCTTTGGAGTGTTTTAAAGGGCTGTGATGGTAAACCAGCGTAGGTTTTTTTCTTTTTCTTTTTTCTTATTTATTTGTCTCAGCCCATGGATGTTGGCGCCACTGTTTGGTTGGGGTGTGAGAAAAATCGATAGACTTAAAAATATCGCAATATGTCAATCGTCGATATCGTATCAATCTCCTCAGTCATCAGTTATTGATTTTTTTTTTCCTCATCAATTCCCAGTCCAATATTCCTGGTGTTGGTTCATTTTATTTTTATTTTTCTTTCTTCTCTAGTGATTCCAAATGTAGATCCCTCTGTTCCAGGAGAGCGGTTAGTGCCCATGCCGAACTGAAGATAACAATATAATTGGTGTAACCCCGCCCTCATACAATCATGTGTTTTGTCGGACATCCCAAAATACTTCTGTATTATTTTTTGCTGCTTTTTGTTTTCATATCCAAAATGGTACTGGACCGCGAGGTCATGTGACGCTTCACGTTAAAGCGTGAGTTGTTTTTCAGGCCATAATACTGTCATAACAACAACAAAATTACCTGGTCAAATAAATACAATTTAAAAAAAAAAAAATTTCCATTTTGACTTGAATTGAAATAAATGCTTGAATGAAACAAAACTCATTCAAATAATCCAAAATAAATAGTTTTGAGGAGTGGGGTTGAAGAGATCAATATCTGAGGTGAATCACTGATCTCAGAAATTCAAAAACTAACATGCACCACATCAAAACATGAGGTAAAAAAAACGTGTGGTTCCAGCTAACAGTTAACTAGTCGACTGCTATTGGTGCGTTGTTAACCAGGTGATCAACCTATCCATGCCGAGCAAATCAAAACAAACAATACGAGAAAGTAAAACCGTCTCCTCTCAGTCTGCAAATAGGTGGTTCTTGGGCCAGGTGCAGGTCCGCCAGCCACTATTTGAGAGTCGCTGTTCTTTTTGTTTACCGTTCTAGTTCGTACTCTTCGTATTATTTGGTATGTTTTTCAACAAGTATGTGCAGAACTGAGATGGAACCACCAACGAAATGGTTTCACGATGTAACGACAATAAAGGAATCTTCTTCAAAATATAAAATATACATGAATAAATATGAAATATATCTGTAAAACAATGGCCAAAATTCTACAGTTGGACTTTTTTTTAAAAATTATTTGCAAACTAAAAACATAGGATTTGTTTATTATTTCTGAATTATTAAAACCCACCGAGAGAAGCACAGAACATTTACATGTCTTTGGATTGTGTTTTTATATTTACATGTATATATGTATATATGTGTGTGTTTGTTTCTATAGATAGATCCGGACGGCGCCGTCTTTCTTTATTCTTTTCCATCAGACACGCCGTTTATTTTCGGTGGACTCTATGACGTCAAGAGCGCACACGTTCCATTCAACAAGCAAGAAAGTAAGTTATTTATAACCGGGCTCCATCTCCAGGTTGTGATCCCTGAGTGCGCAGTGAAAGGAAAACTCCCCATTGGACCGACGCTCGTCCTGATGCGCGCGTCCTTAACGCAGAGCCGCGCAGCCTCTCGGTGCGTTATGGTGCCACGGACACACTCCGGTCCCTGAAATCAGTACCAGGGCGCGTTGTCGAGTACGTCGGTGTGGCTGGAGATAAAGAATTCTTGAAGCAGAAGCGGAATCACAACAAACCGTACCCGAATTTTTCAAGGAGACGTTTGTTCCAATCCCTCCACCTGAAGCACGGGGGGGTAAAGACCTCGACTTGGAGCATGGAAACCACCCCTTCCCATCAGGTAAAAAGATCAACACACATTATTAGTGTTTTTTTTTTATTATTATTTATTATTGTTCATTTGAAATGTCAAGTAAATTGTCTTTTAATGAGAGTTCACGTCAATTTTGCGTCGCCATCCTTGCGCTTTTCTTCCTCCGTAAGAACAAATACACGCGTGTTTTATTATTATGTTTTAATGTATATAGCGGTAGAAATGTCATTACGCGCTTGTTTGAAGATTGTACTTCATGAAAATGTGTGATTTTTAAACGTCAAACGCAGAATTTGTGTGTGAATTTTACGCAGTATCCCTGATATTCGTGTTGGAGCGCGCATCTCCGTCGCCAAGTTAGCACCCTCACCCCCCCCCCCCAAAAAAAAAAAAACCCTGACAGCGACTCTTCATCTTCTGTCTCATGTAACGTGACGTCATATGTAAAGGGATTTTTTTTTTAAAAATACATGTAAACATTGTCACTCATACACCCGGCGCGATGCTGTTTTCATCGGATTCCCCGCATGTTTTTCTCCGTTAATGTTGCGCAAAATGTCCAAACCAAGATGCCAAAGATCGCGATATCACCCTGATTTATTGGTTTAATATAACCGTTATCCTATTTGGTTGCCTGGTTATCACCGATCACCCACTGTGTGGAAGAATCCACAGGTGCTGCTTCAGCTCCTGTCTCGTCTCTTTAAGGAACACGTGACTTTTCGCCTTTTTCTTTCGTTTTTTGCGTAATAAAAAAAACTTAAAAAATCACGCAGACGTAGCTGTTGATGTTGGCTGTTATCTGAAATAAATATACTTTCTTAATTATTATTTTTTTTAGCTGTTAGTTAGATAGTTAGTCATGTTGTTTAGTACCACGCTGTGATAGACTGCCACCTGGTGGTGTAAGGACAAAATGGTTTTGGTCTTTTTTTTTCAATTCTAGACAGATTTTATGGATTTTAACACAACATTTCTGAACGTCATCGCTTTGTGGAGTGAATGTGATAAAATTAATTAAAACAAATTGGAAAATTTTGATTCATGATTTAAAAACGGACTTATGTTGAAATAAAAACATAAAATGTGTGAAAAATTAGTTTGTGGTTGAAGCTGTCACTGGTAAATAAAAACAAAATGTGTGAAAATTTAGTTTGTGGTTGAAGCTGTCACTGGTGTAAATGTGATGATGTTTTTGTATACAATAAGAGATTTATCAACATTAATTATTTTAAAGTAGAGTAAACTAGATCTCACCCTAAGTTGCTGTCAACAGCTAAGTTGTTGACAACTTTTGAAATTTTGAAAAAACAAGAAAAAAAACAAACAATATTCAGGCTGTAACTCTGGTCAAGTAACATCAGCCTCCTGAATGAAGCGAAGCTAAAATCTGATTTAAAAATGACACTTTTTTATGACCAATATATAAGTGCAATTTTAATAATCTGAACAATGTTTATGTTCAATTTATTTTAAGGACTCTGAGCTTTAAGTTCGAGGCAGAGAAGACCTGTGATTGGCTGTGAGATGGCTGATATACTGGAGCTTCGCACAGATGGAAATTCGCTCCTGAAGGCCGTCTGGCTCCGACGTTTAAGACTCACCAGGCTCCTGCTGGAAGGAGGCGCCTACATCAACGAGAGCAACGAGCGCGGGGAGACGCCGCTCATGGTGGCCTGCATGTCCAAGCACTGCGACCAGCAGAGCGTGAGCAAGGCCAAGCTGGTGAAATATCTGCTGGACAACCAGGCCGACCCCAACATTCAGGACAAGACGGGCAAGACGGCGCTCATGCACGCCTGCATCCACAGGGTGGGACACGAGGTGGTGGATCACCTGCTGAGCAACGGCGCCGATCCCAGTCTGGAGGACAAAAGCGGGGCCTCGGCCCTGGTCTACGCCATCAACGCCGACGACAAGGAGACGCTAAAACTGCTCCTGGACGCCTGCAAGGCAAAGGGCAAGGAGGTGATAATCATCACCACCGACAAGTCTCCCTCTGGCACCAAAACTACCAAACAATATCTGAACGTGCCCCCATCGCCCGAGTTGGACGTGAGATCTTCCCCGACCTACTGTACGTCTCCGTCAGACATCAGCGTCACCGCGTCGCCCACGCCCGAGGAAGAGCAACAACGAGAGCAACAGAACTCGGTCTTCAGTTTCCAAGCCAAGCTAAAAACCTCCTCTTCAGCTGCGAAGCTCTCCAGCGGGCCCACGTCTCCGACGAAGCCCAAACCCAACCCCAAGCGTGCACGATTGCCTCAGTTGAAAAGGCTTCAGTCGGAGCCTTGGGGCCTGATTGCCCCCTCCATCCTGGCTGCTGCAGCCGCCGCCGCCGCCACCGCTGCTGCTCAAGAGGAGAGTAAAAAAGTCAGCTCTGACGAGGAAGTGGTCGCAGCTGTGAACGGACTTTCTCTGAGCAAAAGATCGGTTTTATCTCGACAGAGCAGCGTGGACGGGAAAGAGAGCTTATTCCCACTCGTTGGCGAGCAGCCGTGCTTGATAACGCCCTCGCTGTCGACTTCCAAGTCATATGAGAGAACTCTTGGCCAGCACCAGCCACTGGCTCGGCGCAGTACTGTTCCCACAGAGCAGGAGAACAGCAGCAGCAGCTGCGGTGGAGTGGCCAGACTGAGGGACACGAAGGAAAAGGGACGCCCCGGGG